TATATATATATATATATATATATATATAGTTGATACGTTCAACTTCGTAAATTCCACATTGCAATTATTATGAAAATAAATTATCGCCAAGAATGAAGGCTAAAAATATTCCATACGAAAGAAAAATCTTTCAAACTCAGAATCCCACTGGAAAAAAACATGTAAGAATAAAATAGATGAAACAGACGAAAACGCATAAAATGTCACAGTTTCTAAGTGATACGATACAAGCAATTAAAAAGGAATCACAGAAACAAACACTTTTTGTCACAAAAGTGAACTTTCAGAATCATTAAATTTCTCTCTACAGTACAAATTTGAATTGTTTCAATGATTTCAGCGAACAATTCTTCTACAGACTTTTGATATATAAAATAATGATCAAAAAGAAATTCAAATATTCGAACAGATATGTATGAAATCAATTAATAAAACACGAAAAAAAAGTGCATAAAGAAACAAGGTAAAAGCTAAGTATTAAGTTCGTTTATCAATCACTGTAATTCCCTGGTTTTATTCAGACTACTATAACAATGTTTGAAAAAATATTGCTCATTTTTCCATTTATCCAAATCCGTACATTTCAACGAAATTTCTCAAATAGCATGTTCATCTATCCAAAATATGTTCATCTATCCAAAATAAACATTCACAATGGATGGATAAATAGAAAAAAAAAGGAAAAAACAAATCAATGAACATGACCACATTTTGCTTGTCATATCAACAAAGGAAGAAACATAATGTTTAAAAGTTTTTATCACAAACAAGTTTTTGGATAAGAATGGTTAAAGATACCATGGAAAAAAAACAAACAAAACATATACACAACATTCCCCTCTTTTTTCGTGTAGACAATATACGGATTAACAAAATAAAATTTAGTTTCAAAAAAAAAAAGATTCCTCCCTAACACTAGTAAATATATGGAATATATACTCCTGAACAATCATGAATAAAAGTGGATAAAACAACCGGATTAAAATGAATTTCGAAAATTAAATTTCGTATTCCCTAGAACGTGCAAATTTACATATTATCAATTGGCTTGAGTTGTTAAAATGACAAAAAGGTGATGCAGCTGATGAAATATTTAAAGAGAAGTATATAAGAGATGTAGCTGTTTGTTAAATGAAGCAAAACAATGTTAACTGATATAATGATGAAAGATATTTGACTGAAACAAGCAAGGAGGAAATAGTTATGAAAAATAAATGGAGTTATTCCTTTTTTTTATCGTTGTAACAGTTACTTAATTGGAAGCAGTGAACAACTAATGGGTTACTGTTGATCGAAGTAGTACGAGAAATAGTCAGTAAGATAGAAATTAGGTACAGATCCAGAAGGTAGTATTGAAGCATCAAAGATTCCAACGGTAGTATAATTAAAGTAGGTACTGCAGGAGTTGAACTTCTTTTGTTTTTATTTATAAAGTTCTGTGCATTAAGCTTTTCGCCCATATGTATTTCCGTTTTCTGAAGAAAGGAGTTACTGTTAGTTACGTTATAAAGTAAGATACATGAGCTATGGGGATGAAAATAAAACTCACCTCGAACTAAAAGAGAAAGTAAGTGACAAAACTTCCTAATAGAAGTTTTAGCTGCATGTATGAAGATAATAATTATTGAAAATACCTGGATATGAAAGAGATTTATGAAGGTAAATACTATCTCAAATTTAGTAATCTATAGTCTATAATTTATAATTTCCTAAAGATATTATAGCAGACTTCTAAGTGAATAATCCGATTGTTTCAGTCAAAATTAAGCACAACCACAGGTTTCACATGTTGAGCATGTTGAAAACAAAGAAGTATCTAGATAACTTATATAACGCATATAAGTAGGCTTGAGGAAAGCTACACGGATAAATATTTCATCGGAATGACTTATCCAATTCCAAAATATTCCGAAGACATCAGTCCCTCTTCGGCAGTACAGTAACTACGGCAATTTCCAACTTTTTTCGTTATACGAAATCTGATAAAAATAAAAAGTCCACATACGATCTTTACGAAATGAAATTCGCAGTTGATTTTCCCTCATAACAACAAAATTTAACTTCTGTCCAATTTAGGTTTCTGCGACAATCTGTATTCTTTTTTGTGGAAATCCCGAACTGCCATTACTTTTCGTATACATTATTTTTTGGATTTGGATTTGTGCAAACAATGTGAGCATGCCTAAATGACAAATGTAAATTCTGCTCTACAAACAACTTGCATAGTTAAGTTTTCGCAACAAATTCTAACCGTGATAAATCTCCTACAGGAAGCCTATAGAGCAAAAAATATGAACCGCTGATTATCTTGAAATACTTACAAGCTATCTAAACACAAATATTTTCACAGGAAAAGCAACAAGTGAATTAAACAAAAAAAAAAAAACAAGTCAAACATCGATATTAAGAATTCGCTTAATCTAGTAAAATGTATAATAGCACATAAACCTGGGAGCACTGCTGCACAAACTACAATTCATAAAAATAAAAATTGAAAAGAAAATTTTCTAAAATCCAGAAATTCTATATTGGAAATCTAGACTTCAAATATTATTATAGAATATGCGAAAAACTGAAATAATGAAAATGAAGCAAATTGTTCATATATTTTCATGTTCTATTATTTCACTTGATTCTGTGAAGGCGAAAACGAATTTTCGAGAATTCTTAGGTAAAATGTAGCAGTGGAAGTAAAAATCGGGCTAGAAATAGTGATAATGATACTAATTGTAGTTAATAATTCAATTGCACACAGTGCATCATCATTTATCCATTCTATAACCCTAAGTTATAGTACAACAGCATGTCTTCTTCTGATGTCTCCTAATAACATCGGGAAAATCTGGATATCGCATGCTGTGCGTTGAAATAGATGATATTAAATCATCACCACCACCACCGTTCTGTAGGACCGTCAATTCTGTTGTTCCAGAATTGGCTGAAAATTGAAAGGAATGAAAAAAACCAATGGGTATAGCCGACAAATTATGTAATAAAAAAACTGACTGAAAGCAAACAACAATTGTGCAGCTTGTTTATGTAACCTACTAAATCCAGTGCAATAAATAAAGACGCGTCAGGTTTTGAATCAGACCAATTCAAGGTATTTGCGATACATGACAATATATTTCTACAGAGTAGTACTCAGGTTTAGCACGTCTGGTCTAGTTTTTGCTTACGTTCGCAAATAAGAATTACAAAAACTTCCCAGAAAGTACGGGCACCTATACTTGCAGTGATATGTTAAGATATAAGAGATGAATATATAGGTTTACCTACAACCCTACAACATCCTACATATTCACTACAAGCATAGATGTCTATACCTTCCATGAAATTTTTGTAATTCTAACTCATCCTCTGATTTATTATGAAATCTCATATCATGTATGTTGCCAACTTCATCGATTTTCATTTGGCAGCATTTTACGACGGTGAAATCAGCGACATACGACCTTCACTTAGTATCAGCACAAAATTTGATCCAAAAATGTCATTTCTTCACAATTAAAATTAACTGCTCCGAAGCTTGACTATGATATGAACTCTTCCTTAAAAAAAGTCCTCGGGCTAAGATATCGATCAGCTGATATCGTAAGCGTTTTCAGACGGAACCGAAAAATACCAGCACTGGCACGCAGTAACTCTTGAATCCTCTGGAGAACCAGGACTGAACCATTGTATAACATCAAGTGATGGAAAGTGAAAAGAAGTGTACTTTCCCGATGAAACTCAGCTTCCTTCTTCTTTACCTTTCTTCTTCTTCTTTTGACTGCTCCGAGTTCGTCCACCTCTCTGCAGTTGCAAACTGGATTCGTCGTCATCTTCGATGCAACCATTTTCTTTATCCAGTTTTCGTAACCACTCATCTGGTGACATCGGTTTTGTTTTCTGCGATGACGGTTTGATAACCTTAAAAATGAAATTCTCGTCAAGAGGTAAAAAGAAAATCCGAAAAGTACTGAATTAGTATGGAGATCACCAAATAAGGAACCTTAAATGCCGGTTAAATCATAAATGGATAAACGTAAGTGATTCTACAGCCAAAATTATGTTTATTTCTCCACAAGGCAAAATGCAAAGTGAGCTTATTCCGAAAGAATCATCGGATGATCTCCGCGGTAGTTCATCTTATTTTGTCCGGCCACAGGAAGGAAATGAAATGCATAAACAAGTAAAATACAAAAATAATTTTCGTTCAGAATAAAATAAGTGAACTCCCTCGGAAATCAAAAATATTCAGTTATATGAATTTTATGTATATTTATCTAGGCAAAGTTAGTTGTTTGCCAGCCCCTGATTAAATAAAAACTGTTTATCTTTTCATTAATATGCTACCAAAGTGTTTACCTTCTTACTAGGACTGTCGCGCCGACGAATTTCAAACTGCCCTGCAGCATGAGTTGCACTTTCTAGACTACTTTGTCCAGCATTTGCTGAATTGTTGGCAGAACTAGCGTCATCCTGAATGATATCACTAAGTTTTATCCAGAAAAAGGTTAGTAACACAATCATAAGTCCAGAATTTAACCTTTGAAAATGTAGCAAAAAAAAACTATGGGATAGACTGTGTGTGTACCTTTCCGAATGAAACATCTTCTTTACTCCATGACCGCAACAAATCTGTTTGCTCCTTTTGAGCTTCCATTCTCGCCAAAGTCATTCCCGAACGATCCCTTAATGAAAGACGTCGAATAGCACCACGAGCAGAGAAAGGATTGTCTGTATTAGCTGTAGGCTGCTGCGGCGATTCGAACTTTTTTCTCCTCAAAAGGTTAGCATAAAATTTACTTGATCTTCGAGATCAGTAACTCATGATGTTGCAAAATTCTCACTAATCAGAAAATACATACAATATAAAATACATGTTCCATAAGCCTAGAACAAGTTGTAATAAACATTTCGTCATATTTTAGTCATCTAAGTTAAACTGGAACAGACCGCTACGAGTTGGTCGGTATGGGAAGACCCAATACTACAGCAGCCAATTAAGTCAAGAATGCTTGACTTAGCTATTTCTGTCGCTTACTTGTGAAGTAAACCTACCGGTACAACTCTTTTTCAATGATCTTTATGAAATTTTATGAACACAGTTATTCATCAGGACTACACTAAGAAGGTATATTTCAAGTAATATCACCATATGAGTATTTTAAGCAATATTATCATATACAAGAGATTATAGAAAAAAAGAAAAAAAGGAACAAGCTAAGAATGGTACTTTCTGGATTGCCTCCTGCTATCTCGTACACCAAATGCTAAGCGCTTTTTCCTCGCTTCTTGTTGTTGAACAGTAACAATTATCGCTCTTGTTGTTGTGTCCTCGCAAAGATCTGTAAATCTGACTTCAATTCAACTAAGAAGAATACAACACCTTCTTAATATTATTTCATCCACAACCCCTATCTATTCCTGTTACTTTTATCCTCGACCTCAGATGGTTTGATAATTTCACGTAAGTCATGCATCGAAATCTGTAGTCATAGTTAGCTTACTGATAAAGCAGAACAACTGGCAAATTGTGATTATGACGAATAAGATGATGCATATAGCGAAATACATGATATATATATGTCATATATACATTATGTATATAAAATTTACCTAAGGCTGTTTCGCCGTTATTTGTTTTTGCGTTAATATCACCACCATACTCGCAAAGGAGCTCGATAAGATCGGGTTGAGCCCAACAGGCTGCTGCATGAACCGGCATCCAAAGATCATTATCCCGTACTGACGGCGATACACCACACCTCAGCAAGAATGCTGCGACGTCATAGTAACCATTAGCTGCTGCTATGTGTAGCTAAAGGAAACTAAAATTACGATACCAAGATCGAGTGAAAAATTCAGCCTCTGAACTCTGAATTGACAATCTCTATACCAAATAATGCTGCCTTTCACAGCTACAAGTTGTTCAGAAAACAGACCAAAAAGTTCATGCGCAAACTCCTGCAGTTTTTACCCACTAATATAAAATTTGGTGTAAACCATAAAATGCTCACATATGTGCTCCCATCTGGTTGTCTCACATCCAGCGGATGTCCCTCTTGCCTCAATAATTTCATTTCATCCAACATTTGCTTTTCAGCTGCACCACGCTGATCATCTCAAAATGGTACAAAATTTATTCAAATCAAAACCAGGCAAGCCTATGCAACGTAAGCAATAAGAAGCAATTTGCAAAGTTTGCAATCTACTGATATAGAAAGGCTACGATACACTATGGTGCATATAAGGGTTATACATTTATCAATCAGTTTATTGAATTGAAAGATGCAAAAGCTTACCAATATATGCTTGCGTGATGCCACGTGATGCCATTTCAGATTCAATAACATCCAGTGTGGCCTCATCATCACAGATATCATATGGCATATTACCATCTGCATTCACCGCTAGCAAATCAGCACCACTGGATAAAAAGAGCATAAAAAAGTCAAATGTAAAAAAAGACCAACAGTATCATGCTTATAAGCAGCATACTAAGAACATCTCATTTTGTGAACAATAACACTTCAGATCATCCGCTATCGCTTTGTGGAAAAGCTAAAATCTTAGTAACTACCTAAAACAAAATGATGTCGTCTGCAACGACAAATGCCAGTTTTCCCAATGTTAATTTCATTTTATTTTTTCTAATTCAGGAAAAAATATTTCATACCAAAGCTACTGAAGTTGATTTGGGGCAAAACCTGAGAGAAATAGGGTATTTCATGTGTGTGCGGAAACATTCCAAGGAAAATAAGAAAAACATAAACAAGAAATAAATACTTATTATAATACGGAGAAAAACATATGTATGAAAAGATTCCATCCATCTATTTCAGTTAAATTTTATCAATCAACAAAGAATTGAGCTTACTAATCTTACATTTCGCTAAGACACGAGTTTAAGTTTGCAGCCGAATACGTGTGAGATGGAAAAAAAAAATAGCTCAAATGAACAATACTCGAGCAAAACATTACTGACTTATCAATAAGAAGACGAACAACATCGATATAAGCACAACAAGCCGCTGCGTGCAATGGTGTCCACTGCTCTGTATCCTGCGCGTTCACATCAGCTCCGTGCCTTAGAAGTAATTGCAAAATTTGCTCATTATTATCGATAGCACACTGAAATATAAAAATTTTTGTTAGGATTACTCGAAATCACTGTTTTTTCCATCCCTCCAAAATACACCATTCATTATTTTAAGAAATATTTTAAAATACCAAATTATTCTTCATCATTCTTAAATTTTTTTCTTTTTTG